GATTAAAGGGGATTACTAGGAGTTATCAAACCATGTCACAGATGTAAATGGTCCCTTTAGTTATAGTTAGGATAGGATTACATAGTATCTTAGGTATTCATTAGAAATTTTGTTCATCTGAGGCCACATCTCCCCACGATCTGTCAAATCCGGAGCTTATAACTCCTACTGAACTCAGTGCTCTCAGCTCACTCCTTGTAGCGATATTGTGCCTGGCATGTCCAGCTTTTGTGAAACTATAGAGCTGTATTTCTTTGGGTCTGTATATTAGATTGACAGAGAAGTCTTAGTAGGTACACCTTCTCTTATACAGTGCAAAGCATGATAATAATATGATAATAATACCAACAATTCAAATTCAGACTCTACCACATCCCTTGCTTTTACATGTTCATTCTCCTTTGATTTTTCTTTCTGAATTAAAAAAAAAAAAGACAGATTTCCACTGAGAGTGTGACATTCAATTTAAGAAAGTTTAAATCACAGCAATTTTTGACAACTCTGAACGACGTTGCTTAGTTCCCATTTAAAAGAAACTGAGTGTTTAAACACAAGCTTGGAAATTGTGCTTCCACTGTCCAAACCATCAGGTCCTAGAAGAAATTTTCTTTCTCCTTGAATCAAGGGCAACTCAAGAAATTCCTTCCTCATTTTTCTGAGCTTTTCACACATGATAGTGCCTCACTTTCCTTTGAAATTATTGGTACTTTCTTATTCACAATCATGCTACCCTATCTCATAGGCATATCTATGCACTTTATTATTATCATCATCTTCTTTATTATCTTATCATCATCTTAAGAATTATCTTATCACTTTATTATCTTATCATCATCTTAAGAATTTTCATCTTTCCTTTTTATGAGGACAGGGTCTTGCAATTACAAGTTTTCGAAATATAGCAATTCGATTGAGTTCCCTTTGTCCACAAATCTACCCTATTAGTTTTAGAAGAAAAAAACAAAAACTCACCATTATTGTCCAAGAATTGAGTTTTGCTTTATTTTTCTATCTGTCTTGAGATAGTTGGGGCGCAGCTGTCCAAAATAAAGTAAGAATGATGCTTTAGGAATTGTTTTGTGAATAATTACTGTCAGAGAAATCCTGATCCTCAAAACTCAAAGCCTGGAAAAAAATCAAGTCTTCATTATTCAGGTTCTGTTTCTCATCTCCCGAGATCTGCCATTTCACAGTGTCCTTGGCAAAAAACAGTCTTTTCTCTACTTCTTATAAGGTGAAGAGAATGACCTCAAAATATTAATGACCTCAGGGAAAGCCTTTCCCCTAGTCTCCCTTTATAAGCATAACCACATCAGAGTACTAACAATGAGTTTTAATTTCCAGATGCCTTTCCAACTTGTTAAAAATATTTAAAAATTTTTCTTTATTTGTTAAATTTAAAACCCAATCAATCTTTGTATTTAGGACCATAACACTAATCCCAAGTGTTTCAGCAAAAAGAATTGTTTTATAGTTGATATCTTGTTCATTGAATAACTGTGCTTAAATATACTTAAAATTATAAGATATTCAATATATCATATATTAAAATCTCCTTTTGAGTCATTTATTGAATTTTAATTGTTATACTCTTTTGAAAGTTCAATTTTATTGGAAAATAGTGGATTCAATAACATTATAGGGGTTCCCTGCTTTTCTGTTTAACTGATTCTCTGCTGCTTTCTCGAGGTGGCAAGTTCACTTCCAGCTTATAGCTGGGATGAATAGCAGTGCAGGCTTTTATTCTTTTACTCTCTGATTGTAAACCATTAAGGATGACACTTGACCACTAATATTCTTTCTTATTCCTTTCCTATTCCTGCTCTTTCCTTTCTCCTTGCCTTTCTTTCTTTTTTCTTTCTACACTCTTCTCACCTCCTTTTTCCTTTTTCATACAATGTCCAAATCCCATACTCTTAGTTCTTGATACTGTTAGAGGAAACTTTAGAGCTGCTTATTATTTGGTAGTGAGCACAGCTGACATGTTAAAAGATGCTCCATTTCATTCACAGTTAAAAACATTCCATTTCACATTCCAATTAGATATTTGCTCACCTTTCAGGTTAATAAAATGATCTTTTTGATAAATGTCTTTTAACAAATCGTACCAAAATGATGTGAGCAACAATCAATTTCACATGTTTTTGGTAGGAGTTTAAGTGGGTACAATCTCTTAGGGAGCGATTTTCAACATTGATAGTGTTACAAGTACATATGGACTGAAGTCTAGTGAATCCTTTTGCTATAGATAATCTCACTCATGGGCACAAAGAAACTTGTTGCAGCCCTTTGCATGATAATGAAAGATAGAAAACAACTTCAAAGACCATCAGAAGTGAGCTGAATGAATCAGAGATGGTACTTCACACAACCATTAATAAATCTTAAGCAGATATATAGGCAATGGTTTCTAAAAAATGGTATAAAGTGAAAGAGTTCAGAATTGTATGCTTAGAATGGTAATAGTTTTGTTAACATTGGAATAATATATATCTCACACATATTCTTATAAAAAAGTAATTGTATTTAAGATAGTATGTATTTAGCATATTTATGGTCTCAGGGTGGCCAAATTGCATTTTTGGTATCAGAGTAGGGAAGATGACCTATCTTTTAAAATATTTCCTTTGTAAGATTTAAAAATATGTCACAATCATGCTGCATTAAAAATAAAGCTTTTAAAAATACCTTATTTTAGTAGATGGTTTGTTATTTACCTTGACATATTACTGATCTATATCCACAGTGTTCTGATGTAGGCCGGAGGGATAGTGAAATTCTTAGGGCAACACTGAGATTCAGGAGTTTGAGTAAGATGGTGAGTCAGCTATTGGGACAGTTCTGGAGCTCAGTGCTCTATTTCAAATCAGACACCACCACTCTGCCATTAACTTCAGATTCGCTTGCAGTTTTATTACCATATGACCCAGACATCCCTCTTGTGGCTGTCTATTTCCCAAATTTGAAAACATCCATAAAGATACATGCATCCCAATGTTCAAGATGATTAGATAAAGAAGATGTGGTACATATATACAATAAAATATTACTCAGCCATAAGAAAAGATCAAATACTGCCATTTGCATGTATGGATGGATCTTGAGGTAATCATGCTAAGTGAAATAAGTCAGGCAGAGAAAGTTGAAAACCATATGATTTCACTCATATGTGGAATTTAAAAGTGAAAGCAACAAATAAACAAGACAAATAAATAAAAACTCATAGACACAGACAGTAGTTTAGCGAGAGAATAGAAAGTTTAGGGAATTTTCTAGAAGTTTTACAATCTAAAATATGAAGAAGGAAATAAAAGACGTGCACAGTAGCTCTTGATGGAAATGAGCACGGCTAGGTACAGACTGTCAGTAGATGAGGATGTGAAAGACAACCAAACAGAAAGGGAAAAGGGAGAAAGAGGTAGATTTAGGGTAAAGGGAGGCCAAGTATATGGTGATGGAAGGGGATTTGACTTTGAGTGGTGAACACACAATGCAATGTGCAGATTACGTATTATTGAGTTATACACTTGAAACCTACATAATTTTATTAATCAATGCCACCCCAATAAGTTTAATAAAAAAACTTATATGCCCTTTGTCAAAACTCTTCAGCAAAGAATAAAAACTTGTTTGCAGTTTTTAATGATTAAGTATTATCAAACGATTATCCAGATAGAGATGGAGATAGACAGACTGACATATTTGTATAGTTC